TAGAAGGATAAATGCCGTTGATTTTTTAATAATTTTTTTTTTTGTTGACGGTGCTAGGCATTTTCTTCCAAATAAAAGGGCGTAAAATTTTGTTCGATTTAATTTTCCCAACCTCAAAAAACCTATTTGTACCACAAATGTACACAAATTGTGAATTATTTAAGGTTAGAAAAGAAAAATCAGGCCAACTGTTGAACTGTTATAGAACTATTTAGTTTGTGAGAGATTTCAAAGTAGAAAAAATGTTTTCACGTTTTTCGCAGAAAGTCCTCTTCACTCAAGACACCAAATTTGACTACTTGGTACATATGCATTGTGTGCCTGTGTCCCCATGATCAATGAGTTGTTTACCAGAATTTGAAGATCTGGATCAGGGTCATCCGCAATCGAGTGAAACGAGTCCGCTTTTAAATAAAACACCATATTATGGGTTCCAAAGGAAAACTATTTTAAGAATCAGCAAGTATTTTAAAAATCACAAAACAACGGTTTAATTTAACCGAAAAAATAAAAATCGAAATTTAACGATAATTCTTGAAAACGGTTAAATTTGTTCGGAAATATAGAAATCCAATTTTAGCGCTTAACTAATGCTGCCTGCAATCCAAGCAAAGTTTGATCACCCTGGTACTTACATATGTACATGTAACTAATTTACGATGGCGATAGTGAATTCCGATATTCAGCTACAGCTCATTTTAGTGCATATTTTTGGGCGCATATCATGGATAAAATAAAAACGAAAGCTTAAAACTGATTTTTTCATAAATTAATATTTTCTTAATTATTGTTGTTACTTATTTTCATTACATGTGCCTTCAAGCTTTTAAAAAACTACTTACATATTTGTGAACTATATATGTATATATATATTATTATTAAGTTACGCATTCACGCGTTTTCTGCTATTTGATTCTGTTGTATTAAAATTCAAATTAAGCAAAAAAAAAATGCTATAAAACTAATATTAAACTAAATTTATTTACTTGTGAACAGCAATTCGATATTTTTCATATAATTATTTATGTTTTTCTAACCTGCGATGTGTAAAAATTTGTTTAATTTATTTTACATACATACATATATCAAAAAGTTGTTTACATACATTTTTTATTACATACAACTACGAATGTGGGTGTATGCAGTTACTACTTTGTTGTTGTAATACGTTTCAAGTTTCAAGTTTTAAGCAAACACTGGCAGCACAAATGATATTCACAATAAGCGGTTGCAATTGTTTGCATTCTTTTCTGATAAAAAATGTTAATTTTTTTCTGTTTTGTTTAGTCGGATGTGAAAACATTTAGTTAAGTTGGTAAGAAGTAAAAAAAAAAAAATTAATTGGACTGTTGTATATTTTTTTTTATAATTTTCGTTATCTTTATTATTATTTGTTTCTTATTTTGCATACACACATTGAGATTCGTTTGTTTTGCATGTACTATTATAATAATTCACACACACACTTACGTACTTGTTTACATTACATTTAAAAGGCTTGCAAAAATTAGTAGGTAATAATTAAACAAATGTACATTAGCTTTTAGTTTTTATTTATTTTTTTTTTTGTTTTTTGTAAGCTCAACGCATAAGGCTCGCCAAATAAATTTAAATATTTTTTGCAGCTCAATGGGATTCAAATTTTTATTTTTTTTTACGTTAATGCAAAATCGGCTTTGAATTGCAAAGTAAATTGGCGCTTTGAAGTTTTCGTACATTTTACAAAATGTATGCATTTTTGTAATAATATTTTGCACTAGCAATTAATTAAAATGATTTCATTTATTCGTCTTTATTTTACTCTTTAGCTGCTCTTTTTTATAACAACAACTATACATTTAATAATAGTACATTTTATTTAGCTTGGTATAGGTTCATTGTATTTTGTTTATATGTATTTTCATTTTGTTTTTAGAAAAAAGGCTCACGTTGCATTTGCATTTACAGCTTTGAAAGCGGATATTTGATGCAAGTAGCGCTGCATGCATTCTAATTTTTATTTTTTTTAATTAACGTTAACAAGGCAAGATAATTTTCTCATTTTAGTTGTTTAGAAGTATGATGTATTCTGGAACGATTTTCCGTCATCTCTTGTCAAATAACCGGTTTGCGGACAAACCGGTTTCGGCTCTGTGTTATCTCAAAAACATGCTATCAAATAGCTAAAAATGCGCAGATAAATAATTTAAATCGTGCTTTCATAAATATATATTTTTAAATATAAATATTTTTCGCGGCATATTTTTGTGCGTAGTTGTTATGTAGTCATTTTGTTGGAATATATTTTTGTGAAAAAAATTCATGTAATCATTCGATTATTTCATACCCTTCGTTTTATCCTACTTAAAACATAATTTTAAATACACGTGATCATTTTTTTACGCGGGCTGTCGGGTTATTAGAAAACTCATTAAAAAAATATTCACTTTTTCTTGCCATAAAAAAATGGAGTATACTTTTGGGAATAAGTTTAAAACAAAAAGATTATTGTTAAAAAGCCCGACACTAAACTTAGAGGTTCCCCATTGCCAGCTGAGGGCTGAACGCTATACGAACAAAAAATTGATGTTGGGCGGACTAAGAATCTCACCACGGTCCTTCAGAGTTGTAGTACCCACCTCTAAACACTAGGGAAAACCAATTTTTGAATGCTTTAACGCAGAAGTCATTCTGCGATCAGATACATTGAAACCTGTCACAGCTAGAACCGCGAGAGACTAGAATTCGGGCAAAAATAAATCATCAGTGTTTAGAAAAATCTGGAATTTATTGTTAAACTACATCAGTGGAATTAACAATGAGATAAAATGAAAAATCTGCCAATGGGGTCTTATCGAGCGTATCGATATGTAGGTACATTAGGGTGGGCCGAAGATTGAATTTTCCTTAAATAATGTGTAATAGTGAAAAGATGTTTCATGAGGTTAATTAAAAATCAGCAAAATATTATACATCCACTATTAATGTAAAAGTTCGTGGAACGATCCGATAATATACATTTTTGTTACATATTTAGGGTTAATGATAACGGTTTGGTTGTATCGTTAGAGAATAAATCTGGAAACCCAATTCACATAGCCACTTTAAAGTTTTATATTTTTCAATAAACATTGGTCGAGCGGACATATCCAAAAGTGGTTGAAGATGTCTTCAGATTGAATACGAAATATCGGCATAAAAAAAAACATTTAATAAATTACAACAAATGAGCAAAAGCAACCTTAACCATTATCAAATATTTTTTTTTGCTTCAGACAAAATCAACTCAGCCTAATGTAAATATCATCGTTAGAGCCGTATATTAAAACCAATTTTTTTAAACTTATTAAAATCTCTACGCAACAGTAGGGACCCTTCTATATTTTATCAACGGCCATTCCGCAGGGCCTGTGTTCAAGCCCAGTTTCCGACCAACATAAAAAAAAATAAATAAATTAAATTAAAAAGTAGTTGTCTAATAGCGTTCGCCCCTCGGCAGGCAATAGCAAACCTCCAAGTGTACTTCTTTCATGAAAAATAGCTTCTCATAAAAATACAACCACCGTTCGGCGTCGGCGTAAAACTGTAGGTCCTCCCCTTTGTGGTGTCAAGGCAGGCATCAAGGCGCACACCAGAAATCGGAGGAGAAGCTCATATTACAGCTAACGAAGAATTTTTCGCATTTCATCGCTACCTAAAGGTGAAAGGTGCCAAGTCCACTTTTTTACAAGCTTTTATTTAAATTGCTCTGTATGTATAAATGTTTGTTAGGGACAAATTTGGCAACCAATTTTTGACTAACTTCCCGATGACCTAGAGACTTGAGAAACTTCACAGTTCAGAACCCGATGACAATGCAATTTGAAAGATGAGTTAATCCGATAGGTGGCGCAGGAGTCGAGATATTTGAAAAACCCGTATTTATAGCCCGATTTGGTTCATATCTGGAAGGTATATTAACTAGATGAAAAGGAATGACTTCACTAAAAAATTTGCCGATAGGTGGCGCACCAGTAGATATACTTGGTAAACCAGTTTTCATATTTAGAAAAAATATTTGTTATCACTATTAACTTATTCATGTTTGTGGAAAAAATGTTATCTCTTAATAAGAATATAATCCGAAACTTTTGCAACTTATTTAATTCATGCCTTCAGGTTTCGCTTATATGTATGCTTTCAAGCTTCGAGCTAGCCGATTTGTGTGACCCTTATCTAAGAAAAGTCAATGCATGCAGCACTACGATCACAATCTTACCCCGCTCCTCTTCTGTCACTTAAGCAAAGCAAAATTAAATTCAAATTCGTCAAATTCATAAGTGTTATTTTGTTTTTCTTAAATACATACTATAAAAATTTGTTTCAATTTAGCATAAGCGGCTTTTGAGTTTCATAATTTAAATAATTTTCTTATTTGCTTGCTTCATTTGCAGCAACGTACTCTTGCTAATTGGGTTTGCCTTTTAATTTTTTTCTCTTTCCAATTATTTATGCATCGCTAAACACCGATAACTTTTCGATTTTTAAAATACAAACTCTCTAACTGCACTGCCATTCTTACTACAAATTCAAGTGAATTCATCAATGATTTCACTTTCTTTTCGCTTGTCCCCTACCATTGTATGTACTTACATATGTAGGTATTTACGGCTCGCTCATCATTACAATAAAATCTAATTGAAATCGCTACAAATTACACCAAGGTGTATTTAACAAGGTGGTGTTGGCCGTATATAAGTAAAAAATTACACTAACAAATTATACGCTGATGTCCATACTGTCATTGGTATGAATTACAACAAACACATCATTTTGACGTAATGGCCTCCGCGGCGAAAAACTCAGCTGTCGCCCCAACACCACCTTGTTTAATACACCTTGAATTACACTTTGCCTCCACGCCTTGTCTAGCCTCGTCGTGCATCAATTATTTACTTCTCTTCTCTGTTACACCTTCTGCAATTCTGCAGCTAACATTTCGTGTTTTAATTGTCAGGCTGCCGTTGTTATTGTTGTTGTTGTTCACTAGCAGTTGCTATCACCTAAACATAGGTGGCCACAGCGGCTGTATTCGAAGTGGTGGTACCTTGCGTTGGCGCTGGCGGCGCTGTTGGCGATTGATGCGCTGCTGGTGTATTGTTGATGGGCTGAGGACTAACCGGCGGCTGTAGTTTACCGGGCACATATTGACCTATGAAGGAACCATCCTCGGTGAATTGAGCTGCAAAATTAGAGAGATAGAGAGAGAGTAATAAGGTGATTAGTAAATGGAAACAATTGTGTGGGGGGGCTGTAAATTGCAATAGGGTGTTAATGAAAAACTTGAAATTATGTGGTTGTGTGGTGTTAGATATTAACCAGTGAGACCAAGCTGACCAAGACCGCGGGTTGTTTTGTAAATAACAGAATTTCATTTATTAATAACGCAGATCTATATAAATATAGTGTAGTTTAATAAATATTTATTTTTCAAGAGTTCTGATGTAACAGTGGCAAAATCCATATAATTTATTTTTATTTTTTGCTGCAGCTTATGATAAACATATTATCTAGGTTATTTTTTTAAATCTCCAGCACCGACTTATCTAAATAAAAATAAGTAGGTGTTAACTAAAAAAAAAAAAAAAAAACAAATTAAGAATCAAAATAAATAATAAAATAGAAAAGTTAAAAAATAACTGTAATAATAAGGAACTTCAGCTATATTTTTAAATTTGCGTTAAATCATGCCAGACAAATTTTCTAATCTACACTCTACTTTAAAAAGCATGCAATTCTCTACATACTCTTACCTCATTCATGTAAATATGTTTGTCGACGTCATTAAAACGAAAAGATTACTGTAGCTAAAATAAAAAAACTTAATTGGTAATGCCTTAATACCGCAGTACGACAAAATTTATTTTCTGGGCGACGCAGTTAGTCAAATTTCATTGCTGATATGAATTCACAACTCTTAAGATCGACAAATTTTTTCTTTCTAAATAACCTCCAAAAAAACATACGGTTAATTAGGTTAGAAATTACTAAGTGCAAATTTTTATTTTTATTTAAATTCGAATTAGACGATTGCCTAAAACTTTATCGACGATCGATGAACACATTTGTTGTGAGACAGTTTAGTTAACTAAAATGAAACTACATTTGAAATAAAAAAGTTTAATGAAATAATCGCAAACAAAATTACCAAAATATACATTAGGGGGTCTAAGTTATGCCGCGGTTCTTTGGTTTTTTCTTGATGCCTGGTAGAATCGCGAAAATTTTACCAAAAACGTAATTTATTCTGCGATCTTTTCGTTTGGCAAATGTAACAAATCTTGTTAAGAAATGTAGCACCTTTTCATGCTGAAATTGTGTAAATATGGGGAGAACATTTTATCGCCGCCACTTGCTCTTTTTGCTGGATACCTGGTAAAATTTTTTTTGCAAACATAGACACCAGGTACCAATTTTTAGCTTACTTTCAGGCACATCATGTGAAATACTCAAAAAAAAATTTATCAGCCGAAGCTTTCTCATGAGCTGTGGGCGCCTGGTTGAAATAGAAAAATTTGATGCTTTCGTCCTGGACAACCGTTTTGCGCCATCGCTTGCTTCATCTTGCTGGGCGCCGAGTAAAAATGCGAGAAAAAATCAAAAATAGATTTTCTGTAGATTTACATAAAAAGAACTTAGAACTTAGATAGGATGCGAAAGAGTTCTGTGCGCCTCTGGTAGAAATGAGAAAATTTAATTTTTTTGCCCTGGTCAGACCGCTGAGCGGGTTTAAAAAATCTGTCTCGAAATGTAGCATATTTTTAGGCGCTGGAAATTGAATATTGGGGAAAATACATTTCCGCTGTCACCTTCTCGCTATTACTTGAGCGCCTGGTAGAAATGCGACACTTCACTTATAAAATGGGCGTTTGATGGAAGTGAAAAATTCAAAGAAAAATGTGTGAAAAATTTGCTTGCCGGCCTGGTGCGACTTCTGTGGCCATTAAAAGAATAACGCTCTATTAATGTTAGCATCTAAATCCTCTCATGCTCATGAATTTTGTATAGCCAACCATCAGAGGCAGACGGTAGCGTTGATCCGGATCAGCTCTGAAATTAACTGCAGTTGATCCGGATTAAGTCCGAGTTAATCTGGATCAACGCTGTTTAAGCTTTTAGTCAACTTTCTTCAGTTCCCAACGAGTATTAAAACATCTTTTTTTTTGTTTATTTTTATTTTGTGTAGAACATTTTCGCTTTTAATTAATTCTTTTAAAATTCATTTTCATATTAAGTGTTTGTTTTATCTTTTATACGAAAATGGTAGGTACACAAATAGCTTAGCTTTACATGTATACTATGTTTTTTTGTTTCTCTTCTTACTTGTTGTTGATAGTTTTAATTTACATTATTATTAAGAAACGATTCGATTGTTTTTGAATTTTTTCTTTTACTTTAACATTATTGCTAAAAATTATCCATTAAAAACACTATATTTAAGCATATAAAATAAAATAAAAAAGAGTGTAAAAAAATAAATGAGAGTAGTATACAGTTATGCAAGGGTTACTAAATACTAAACACACAAAAAGTAAAAAGTAAATAAAAAAAAAAA